AATGGAAGAAGGGGTGTGTGGATGAATGGATCGAGACGGAAGCGATCGAGAGAGGTGAGTGGGAGGTATGATGGCGGCTGCCAAACGGATCTCGGTTAGGTCCAAATAGAAATTCAATTGATCTTGTCCGGTAGTGTCAGGTAATCCATCTTGTTCCTTCCGCCACGTCTGGAGGCACGTCTAAGTCAGATCGGAGGAGGACTCGTTCGGGGTGAAGAGGACTGCTGAAACTTTCAGTGTCCTTCTCTTTCTCTTTCCCTCTTCCTCTCACTCTCTCCCTCTCTCTCTCTCTCTCTCTCTTTCAGAGTCAACCGCGACGCTTCGCCGACTACACGATTCCATTCCTCGGCAGAGGGAGAGAAAAAAAGAATAAAAGAAAACGGGACAGCTGTCCAGCTGACCACCAAACTACCCATTAATTACGTTCCTGGCTATTCACTCACACTCGTAAGCTTGTTTGTCTCTTACGTTCTAGTACTACGGTGCTGAAGGATGCGAAAGAAGAAAGGGAGATTCCTGCACCCTAAGTTTTGCTAAGTTTCCAACGTGGAAGCCTAGAACGAGAGGAACGATGGAACGAGCTATGTTAGGTAGATATAGAAAAGTTGCTTCTGCAAACCGCGAGACAATCTCGTCCCTTTCTCGTATTCCCTACTCCCTTCCCCTTCTGACTACCCTTCACCTAACCATACTTCCGGATTCTTCTTATTCTCTCGTCTAAACGGAATCGAGGGTTCGCTTTGGAGTCAAGCTGTGACGTAACTTCAGTGATTTATAGTCATCTAGCATTAATGCATTCACTCCTTCTCGTGTCGACGAAATCTTGCATAATCGATCGTTTATAAAAGATTATCCTTGATAATGTTTAGAAATTTCTTAGTTAGAGAGCTGAAATGAAATAAATACTCACATATGGAAAGTAGAAAAGCAAAATCATTTTTTAAAAAATTGTTCGAAGGTTTAAATAGTAGCTAACAAATCACAGATCGAATTAAGTCTTTTAGAGTTTTTATTAGCGTACGTGATGAAGTCAGTATTTTCTTAAACTATATGGATATGGAATTTTACTAATGGATAGGTAAGCTTTCTACTATTTTCACTATCCCGTAAACCTCTGAATTGAAGCTATAGCCTGAAGAGTTTTGCAATCCTATAGCTATCGGAGAAATATGAACAAACTTTTTCTTCAATTCAACATTATATATATAAATTTAGGATTAATTTTATTTATGTAATTTTTTAAATTAAAATTGCATATATATATTCCGATTTATTGTTTTTTTTTTTTTTTTAATAAACATACGAAAAAACAATTCTCGTCGGACGTATCAAACATTCAGGATGTCGTGCAAAATTTGGGAGTGGTTCGCATAACGCGTTGTTAACAGCAAGGGTTTGTAAGAAAGGGGAGCTGTAAACGCGGTGGTTGCGCTCCTTCGTACATCAGAAGAGCCAGCCTGCTTTCCGGTACACGCAAAAGTCTCATTAACTTTGGTCGCATGTTCTACGTTTTCTTTTCAAACTGTTCCACTTCTCGATGTGTCGACCTTACCATACTCTGAAATTTCACTGATATTACTGCATCGAGATTCTACCCATTGGCATTTAACTACATCTTTTAACAATACAATTAAAAGACACCCAAATCAAAACTTTGGAGATTTATTTGAAATCAATGAACACGTGATCATAAGTTACGAATCTAACATAAAAGAAATTTTCTTATTTGATCGAGCTCGCTTTTATTTAAAAAAAAAAATAATCATTTATTATGTAGGCTCAAAATTTTTCCGACCGCTCACGTATTAGTTATCTAATATTTTAATAGTCATCATTTATAATTATACGCGAATGAGTCGAAAAGTTCTGAGCATAATATAGAACCAATTATTATTTTTCGACTATAATAACATTTATTTAAACATAAAATTGATATTTTTGTTAAGATTCGAAACATTTCAATCAACCTTCGCAATTCTTTTAGCAAGTAGATAAAAAATAATATTTATCTATGAAATAAAATATATTAAAATAATACTGATAGAATAATTTTTATCATTTAATCTTACGTATTTGAAAAAAAAATAAACAAGATAAAACATCGCCGTAAAAACATTTCTTAAGAATATACAGATCGACAGTTTGTGCGAGCGTGCCAGGAGTCCGAGTAACAAACCGGGCAATGCATCGTTAGCTTGAACAGACTGGCAGATAAATGACGTGGTCGCCTCTCATCTGACGTGAATGAAGTCAGGATGGCTTTACCTACATGGATATACATGGATAGAAGCAAATATACGCCTATCCACGTAGACCACGACAACGACGACGACGAAGACGATAGGGAGGAGGATGAGGAGGAGGAGGATGAGGAGGATGAGGAGAATGAGAGCAACCAAGTCTCGCTATTCGAGAGTGATCCCAATAACCGGCTAATGATACTTTCAATGCCATCCGATAAACACACTTTCATAAGGCAAACCAACAAAGAAATGTTCCTTCGTTTCCGCAGTGGTATTCAAACCATTTTTCATTTTGAAATTATTTTAACAAAAACAATACTTCTAAATAATAAGATTTTTATTTTGTTTAATTTAAAAATATTATATACGAAGGAATAAAAAATAATTATTATCGATAATCATTATTTTCTTTGCGCGCCAATGATTTCTTAGAAATTAAAAATTAGAAATTATACAGTCTTCTCTGAAAAATTGATTACCAATATTAAAGTATTGCGTTTTTAAAATAATCGAAGAAGATACGCTGAAGTTGTGAAAGCTTGAAGATCACTGGTCGTCTGGAACGAAGCTCATTTACGTTGGACGTTTATCACGAAGGGAAACAACGTCCTAAAGACAAATATCTAATGTTCTCGATGCGTATTAATTATGATGTTTCATATAACGTTCGAGTATCGTTTAAAAATGTTTTTTATTATCTGAATCAAATTTTAATGCCTCTATTTATGTTCAATATTCGTTCATATAAGTACGCTAGTTAAATAATTAACAATTATAAACAAATTATCATATCATGTAAATATTGTATATATAGTATGTCGTCTTATTAAAGGTGACAGGTTTTTACACGAACGAAATAAAATAAAAATCATAGCGTTTCCAGATTTCAAACAAAAGGGACTGTATTTTGATAAGGGAAAAAAGGTTTATCGATGTTCGATTAAAGGATATCGATCCGAGATTTGTTCCCTGTAACGGGTGTACTTCTCAGTAAAGATATCTTTTTTGTTTGTTCGGTCTAGCGGAGCACCCCTCAGTCCGTACTCAGCAGGGGTGGGTCTACAATACTACGCGGCATACAGGATTGGTGGTGACAAAGAGAGGAGGAGGCAGATCAAGGAATAGAATTCTATAAATCTCATTTATCATATCCAACCCTGTCAATCTGCAACGCATCGATAGGACGATGGTTTACCGACACCACCATCACCACCACCACCACCATCACCGTCGCCACCACGAGTCTCCTTTATTATTCAATATATTTATTATTAAATCTACCATGGTCAACAAAAGATAAAAAATCGACTAGTTTAATTTTTAATATTTTTATTTAATCACCCTTACATTCTAGTCAATTGTTTAATACGCCTACCAACACCTTTTTGTGGTATATCGGACAAACATTAAAAAGTACTATTACAACCAAGGAAAGAATATCTGTTTAATTTCATTATTCATCTGTCATCTTAACTTTTATAACAAAAAAAAGAAATTGGCATTTTACGTTTTAAAGTTTGTTTTAGTGTGATATCTGTAAAAACAATCTCTATATATCTTCGGTTTATTAAGACAGATGTCAAAATATTCACCCCTTCCATCTTTTTTTTGTCTTTCGAAACATCGTATAAAATATTTTCTCATTATATTGAGTTTTATGTACAAACAATGTCAATTCGATTAGTTAGATCGTAGTAAAAGGAATATATTTTGACAAATACAAGTTAGTTTAACACAGATATACCAAATATTAGGCGTATAACTAATTAATGTCGTTTTGGCTTCATGCATTTGTAAATTATATATCTAATAAAAAAAACGACATTAATTGTTACTAATTAATTGTTACTTTTACTTTTAATGATTATTATTTATAACCATTAAAAGTTTTTCTTAAAATTTATGGTAAAAAAGGTGGTATTTATCTTTATTACTGTGTTTCTAATGAAACAATTGCACAGTAAAATACCAAAGAATATTGACTAAAAAAAAAAAAAAATCACACACACACACACAGTTTAATTAAAATCACACACAAAATAAATCTTACTAAATAATACCGTAAAAAAATAAAAAACGAATAATAATGAAGAATGAAAATTTGTGCACGCGCGAAGTACATCTTCAGCCATCTTGTCATGTGCCAAGAATGCAGATGCACTAACTTCTAGTTGCTCTGAATAACGCTCCATATCTTTACATCGCAATTTTTCAATTTCCATTTTAAATCATAGATAACGTTTATAAGAGCTAACTATTTACAAAAGATAAAACGAAGTACTTCATTATTATTAGTAATTATTTTTTCGACAAATCTGTCAGAAATGTGACATTTTTATACATATTACAAAAGTTACGATAAATATTGGTACGACAATCCCGTTCGGTAATCAACAGAAATATCATATTTTGTCTTGGCATAAAAATATATTCCGAATAATGTTTGAAGAAGTTGCAAAAGAAATTAACATTGTAAACGGAATAATTATAATTATCAAAAATATATACCGACAAAATATGCAGCGTGAACAGTTGAACCTACTAATATCTATTATCGTTTCCAATATTAGAAGTTTTTATCGTATATAAGAAATCTATCAAGAATATATAAAAAACTATTCGGCGGGTTAGCGCGTCGTCCATAAATCATAGTGGTTGCAGGTGTACTATTACTGGTAATTATGATGATTAGAAATTCTTTGGTTGTTTTCGTATAAAATATTTGGTTTTCCTTGATTTCTATTGTAAGTTACGCGATTATTGAAAAGTCGATTGTTTTTTGGTTTTAGTTCTTCTGTTCTGAAACCAGATTTTAATTTGTGTTTCAGAAAGGGACAGCAGAATCGCTAATTCAGCTTTTCTTGCTTTCTTTACGTAATTATTCTTCTTGTATTCGTCCTCTAAAGTTTTAGTTTGATATTTAGTAAATACCTGTCGAGATCGTTTCACGACTGTCTTTACGTTATCCATTCCTGCTGAAACAAAAAATGTTGGAATTTAAACATTATAATTGAATATTGAAAAAAAAAACAAAAAAAGAAAATAAGTACCATATTTAATAAATATAGTTGTTAATAAACATTTATAATATAATATTAAAAATAAGAAACTAACCTCTTGAGTTCATGGAATTATTGAACATTGAAATTTGTTGATTTTGACTATAGTTTTCTTGATTATTTGGATAATAAACTTGATTTTCGTAATTTGCGTTTTGAAAATATTCCGGCCCGTGATTGTAAGACCATTCATTCGAAGGTATTGCTTCAGTACCAATCCAATGAGGATTGTATTCTTCTGTAGTACGTGGTTCATGCTCATATTGAGGATAAACAACTTGTGAATGTGCTTCAGCATTTGAATACCCATTTAGCGTAAAATTAATAGAAGGTACTTGAATTTCACGGTAACTATTTTCCTCGTAATTATTTAATGAAGATGGCATATTGTCGGTATTTAAAGATGTTAACCAATTCCGCAACGGTGATAAACTAGTTGACGATGATAAATTATTCGACGATGACAAAAAAGCAGGATCTAAATTAAATGCCGTTAAATCGGAAGTATTTATCTCCTCTAAATTTTCATAATTGATCATCGAGAATCCGTTAAAATTACTTGTGGGAACTTGACCTTCTAGCATTTCAGCAGAGTCGTAAGATATATTGGTAAAATTGGAATTTTTCATTGTTGTACCATGATACAACTGCTCGTTATATAACTGTTCATTAAAGCACTGTTCACTGTAATATTGTCCATTATTATCATTGGCCATATCTTCATTACGTAATGCACACATTTTGTTATATTTTTCTAACAAACTTCACTTTACAGTTCGGTCGTGGAGAAAATTTATAAATTTAGTTATATTCTCCTAACAAACTCCACAAGACAGCTAAGTAAGAACTTCGACGCGAACAGGACAACGTCAAGAGGAGGACTGAATGCACCTGCTGAATGTTATGATTTCGAAAACAAAATGTCGCTTTTTGTGAAAATTTGTAAGGTCTCGGATTCAGGTTCAAAAGAAAAGGGACAGGAAAAGAGAAAGTTTTATGGTATATAATAAACACTTGAAAAAGCGTGGTGAATCTCCTCCGCTCCTTAAACTGTCCTTAAGTTTAAAATCAAGCTAAAATATTTTTTAAATACTTCCTTCTTCAATATTCTATTGTTATTAAGCTTTCTTCCACTTTCAACGCTATTGATACAATACCCATGTAGGCCACACCCCTTTATCCTCGTTCTCCGTTTATACTACCTATCTACATCTAACCACTCACCAAATCATTGTTATAGCGAGATTGATAGTATGTTTAAAAAAAAATATTTCTTAGTCTTTTAGTTAATTCCTGCGCTTAGATCGCGAACCTATATTTCGATTGGAAACATTGAATTATATTTTCTACCTGCTCCTATGTATACAAATTGTACAACAGACTTTTGTAAGGCTTCTGGAAAATTAAAACCGACCTTTAGTTTCTCTCTTCTTTTTCTATTGTATGAATAAAAGACTAGGATTGTTAAATTTATATCTTTCTTTTAGAAATGTCTTTTCAACATAATGTTGTCTCTTGTATATATACAATACATTTTCCAACTATTTTCTTTTAAGAATTTATTTTCAGTCAAGCTATAATAGACGGATTTACAGATTCGTTGAAAGACCAAACAGCTGGAGATCGCAGGTGTTATTTTAGGCTCGCATGTACGTGACTCGAAGACAATTAGATCCTTTTAAAGAAATGTCATTTTACAAAGATTTTTTTCATAAGGAATTCTAATATCATGTTTACTTACCTATCCTATCTTTTCAGGTGGTCGTGAATGCTTCAATCATGAATGTATGATGCTACAATATCTCATATCGTGTAACGTGAGTTTGAGTAGATCAAATTTGTGAACGGATAAATTCTGGCAATTAAGTGGTAGCTCAAAGCCCAGTTCTTTAATTAGAACAGCCATTTAACGAAAGAATCGTTCGAGGTTTACAAAAAATATCCATCTTCACCCTAGAGACAATTAACAACTCTTTACTTCGAAACTAAATAGTTTCACACAAAGTATTTCATCTTTTTCATTCGCTTGCTTAACTCATTATTCACCAAATGACTTGTAGAATCCTCAGTCCATTTAGATGAATTTTTATTTAAATGTTTTGATCTGTTTATATATGTTAATTATGTTTTTTTAGATTAAAATTTTCAGCTTCTAATATATTAATTCCCTTTTTCTCCCCCCCTCCCCCATGTTCTCTTCGTTCTTATCGATGCGTGTGCTCAGGTGTTACACGTATGGGTGAGAAAAAGTTTGCATGGGTTATTAGTTATTAAGTTTTCCTTTGGCGTTTTGGTCATTTTGTTAATGGTTGCACGATGTACTTTAAATCATGCATGCTATTAGATAGATAAAAAAATAAGAAGTCAGAAAACGAAGTATCAGTATCTTTTTTTATTCAATCAAGATATTTTTTTGAGAAATTAATACAAATTAATTTTTGTTTCAGGATCATCGATGTTGGCAAGATTTAACTCCACGCCATAAAAAATCTAAGAAAAACAACACGCGAATTAAGTCACGTGTGGATAACACACGCTTTACTTTTCTTTTAGAAAAAATCTAAATTTGTCAGTTGATAATTGACATATAGCAATTACATAGATACGAATGATATTAATACTTCTTTAGAGAAAAAATTGAAATTACCTTCATTTTAAAACTGTTAGATGCATTCTGGAATAGCTGGAATCCTCGGAACCTGGTAATCTTGAGAAAATAGATTAGTATTAAATCTTTAGAACTGTAGACCAAATTAAATTTTAATTAATTCTGTTTTTGTTAAAAAAAAGATACATAGAAAACAAAATTTATTTCTACGAAAAAGTTTTAAATTCTTTCTTTTTTCTTTTTCTTTTCTTTGTATTATATAAAATATAATATTCGAACATGACAAATGAATTTTCCTAATTATTTAAACGAAACGATTTTCATCGTAACCGCTGAATAAAATTGGGGATCACCGTTTGGTGAAATGAATCGTACGTACATACGTTCAAAAGACGACATATGTGCTCTTGTTTCCTTTCATTCGTTGGAAAAGGCAATAGGGAAACTTTGTTACCCAAGAGAGGGGTGGTGGTGTTCCAGCATCCATTTAGAAAAATTAGGAATATCGTAACCAAGCCAGACGGTACGCTTGCTATTATTCTCAGATTGATTTATATTTTGTTTGTTCTGCTCAATATATATCACTACTGACTTTTTCGATCCATGGATCTGTCTATTAGCGGCAAGAACGGTGAAACGTTCGATTCAAAATTTTCAATTGTTAAATTATTTGATCTGACACAGTTTCATTGTATGTAGACTTTTTAAATCCACTTTTACGATTTTCAAGTTAAAGATCATTAGATATGTATAGAGTTCTGGATTTATTCAAACCTTTTTAAGCTAACGGGTGAACATTAAAGATAAGTAAAAAGTAAATACACCTATGTCGTTCGTTCGTTCGTTCAAATAAAATGTATACTTGATCATAAATCACAATAAAGATAAAGGAAGGAAAGAAGAAAGAATGCATGCTCTGACACGAGACTGTAAATTTGAAAGAAAATACTTTGCCATTTGTTCACTAACTTTAGCAAAAAATTTGTACCTGTAGACAGGTATCTTCTACGTCTGTCAAGCAGATTTGACTGGTACTTTAAGGTAATATTCTTAAAAAAAAAAGACTGAAAGAACCTTTTCACCATTCAAAAAAGAAACGTCTCGAGGAAATTATTATATCGTCTATGCTCAATTAAAAGTCACAAACATTTAAGCTAATCTGAATTCTTACTCGAACAACAAATTTTACATTGGAAAAATATGCTTTTTATGGAGTAATTGCTAGTAAATTGGATTATTTATGAAATGTTAAGCAATGCAAACTACGTAAGTCATTTTGGGTTGAAAGCGTAGTTAGTGACTTTTGACTGAACAAAGACAACATTACGTCCAAAATAACTTTCAATTAGCTTCATATCAAAGAGAAAACTTTAGCTGATCTTTGTTCGAGGATTCATTGTTAAGTATCTAAGCGAATATAAATTCTTTTAACGCGTATTTCTTTCAAATCGATGGAAGAGAAGGCAACGATTATCCTCCATCCATCGAAAATGAAGTCTGCATTCGGAATCATTTGCGATTCGCCCTCCGGTCGGAACCCTCGACTCTTCCCACAAGTATCCCCCTTCGCGGATTATTATTTATTATCGTACGTCCAGGACTTGGTAGGACGTCTTTTCACAGACAATCGTAGATACTCCCATACGTGCATAGATACACTTACACAATAAGAAACTCGCTCGTTGCATCGTTTACGTGCCAATGTGTCTACGTCAGAGGACGCATGTCCATCCCGATCAGCCATTCGAATCCCCGTAGCTTTGGTCACCATGTGAGCGAACATTCAACGTATCCATTAATCACTCTACTTTTTTGACACTACTTTACTATTTATAGGTTGTCCGCAAGGACGTCTATTATTTTCACTTCTTTTTAGCGATAATTATTTTCGGCTGATCGATCGTTCATCCTTGGTTTTTAACTTTTTCTTAATTAACGAGATCTTATACACCTGTTTTGTTCGTTACTATCGATTCTTTCCTATAATTTATTTTAATTCTTCTTTTGTTTTTTTTTTTTATCAGGGCTATTATATAGTTTACGTATGACAAAAACCATATTTGGTCATTTCTTATTGCATGTTCCATTCACGCAGTCTCCATTTAAATGTCATTTTCATGGAACTAATTACTGACGTAAATAATAAAATTGTTGTATTATTTTTCTTATTTGTGCCTACTGAAAGATTTAAGTATGCATATATATGTAAAAATTGTTTATCTATAGTATTTTTTTTCTTACTTATCTAAGAAGATACGATCCACTCTACTTAATTCGTCCCTTTTCCTATGCCCTTATTTTTCTTTCCTCGACGATGCGTCGAAAAGAAAGTAGGATTAATGAAAATAGAGAATACGAGGAGGGACGCGAGGAGGACCGTGCTAAATGCACGCGTATATACGAGTGAGAAAAGAAAGAGAAGGTTCTGCAGCTTTGATTAATCGACGCCGGTCAGAGATTCTAGAGAAAGACGTCACTCGCAAGGCTGCCTACGTCTAGCCTTTGCCACGCATTGTGTTTATCTTACCCACTTACTTCATATCTTAATCCGACATCTTCATTTTTTCTTATGGAAAAAAGAAAAAAAAAATAAGTGTACGATGACGAGCTGTCGAATACACGAACGAACGATTAAACGATTTCATACGTTTTAAGTAAGGCTCATGTAATTAGTGATTATAACCGATTTCGTACTTAACAATTAAATTTATACCTTTTTTCTTTTCATTTTGTATATATATTTAAATATTATTATTATTATTATTATACAATTATTAAATATTATTATTATTATTATACAATTATAAATTATTGATATGAATTTTTTGTTCTTTTTTAAATATTTATTCTGTGCTATATAAATGGTCGTTTGTCGAAATAATATCTTAATAGTTCTTCTATTCATTGGTATTTGTAATAAAACATGTGCTGTGTCTTAAATCGTAACTACTCTCAGAAGTTTTTTAAATTGCATTGATATAACTTAAGGAAATATACTCTTCCTTTCTTTTCTTTTTAATAAATAAATAATTTATATGCATTTGTAATTTTGAAATATTTTAATAAGTTAAGAAAAATTAGAAGAGATTGGTTACGCAATCTTTGGAC